AGGGAGGGAGGGAGGGAGGCAAGCATTTTAGAGAATTTCTGTGGGATAGTGACACCGTGGGCCTTTGAGCCTGATCCCAGAATCCATCCATTTGAATTGGTTAGCCAGCTCAAGAAAAAAAAAATTGTAGTAGATTGCGACATGTCGTCATCTGAAAGACATATTTAGCGTGCTCAGTTAGACAGAATAGTTGTTGGAACCGTACAGTTAGACAACGAACCTCTTACACTGGCGATCTAATCAAGGGTCTAGAAAGAGAACCTGGAAGAGACGATAAATCGCGCGACCGAATACCTTTTTAAGTTTCAAGACTCTGAAAGCTTTAACCTGTTTGGAGAAACATACCCGTTCAGGTCAAACAAAGGAGTGCCCGTACCCCTTCCCTCTCCGGAAATTTTCAGAACAAAGTGCTCGAGTTTGCTTGACCGAGTTGTACTATTTTTGTAAGCTTTCGGAATGTTGATCCCAAAAAAAATAAATTATGATGATACTGCTCCTGGAAAATAAGTTTGCCTCACTAACCAGACTGGAAACACATATCCTCGAGAGTAGAGACTGATTTCAAGATTTCTTAATTGTTGATGTCAGCGTAAAGGATTTCAGTTGTCTTCCTTCAAATCTGAGTCCAAAGCTGTTCTCTTCCCTTTCCTATTTTTCTCTTCTTTCCTTCTTTATATTTTTTGTTACCTTTTGAGATCATAGAAAAGATTTGCGGTTCATGGAGTTCGTGCCAACAATCACTTGAAGAGCCCAATCTAGCTCGGTCACTTCCGGGTTTCGTGGTCCATTCTGCAATCAACCTCAAAAATACCAAAAAGTTACCATCCTTTGATGTGGGTTTCATCATGGTCCTTACAATTATTTGTACACTTGCTTTCGCTTCCCTGATAGTCGCCTTTGTTTTCAGGTAAGAATTGCTTTTTTTTACTACTTGATGGGATTTTATTTGATATAAGAATTTGAGGTTTCATCCGTACAGAGCCCATGCAAGTGTTATCTAACCTCAATTCTCGTGATTTTCGATCCTAAGAAATGTTGTAGGTGGAATGAAGTCGAAATATAATTCCAACCTAAAAACATAACTATAAACCTCTCAGTCCCTTTCTTCCATGATCTGAGTAAAATTAATCGAAAATGAGATAATTCTAGCTTCATGTATCGTGTACATCTTTAGGTCTAAACGGAATGGAAAGGCTTGGGACATACTCAGTTTCTTTCAGATTTCCAACACTTTACACCTTGAAACAGCACTACGAAAATATGACAACTTCTTTCTCCTTGTTCATCTTCAACATCAAACCATTCTGAGTGCTGTTAAATCGTTTGGCGAGGAAACAGACTGCTGTGTTTTGACTGGCAGTGCATTTGAAGGATGTTTCCTTCCAAAAAAGATGAGCAGTGGAATAGAGATTGCTGTTGAATGTGACTTTTTTGTCCAACTTCCACCACCCACAGCTAAAGATTCAACAGGAGCTTTACTGTATACACAAGTTGATGGGAAAACACACCAAGTGTTTGTTAAGGTTTTAGACCCATCAGGCATTGAATGGGAATTTATGGGCATTGATCAAACAGCTGGTTTCCTAAAACAGTGCCATGATGGTCTTTATATCAAAAGAAATTTTATGCAAGCCATGGAGGATAGAATTTTGAACTCACTTGGTAAGGTTTATTCAAAGAAGCCTGGTGGCATGGAAATTGTTCAAAGGTCACAAACAAGGCATGGTAGAGAACTTTTTGCATCACTTGATGTGTCATTTTTCAAGAAAATTTCTGAACGCCTAGATATGTTACCTTTAGATCCTGATACCTGGTCAGGAAATGCAATGACAACTGCACAAATGTTGTGGGTGAATCTCACCAACTGGAGTTCATCGGTTTGGCCTGCTCGGATTTTCAAAGTTCATGTGGTTTTAGAATGCAGTTGGCCTGCTGTTGCAATGGAGAACTGGCTTCAAAGGCAAAGACAATGGCCCAGTATGAAAACTGTGCAGGACATTGCACTGACTCCTTGTTACCTACACCCCTTGTGGGACGTTACAGGACATGCAATAGACCAAGAAGTGATGGCATTTCAGTTAACTTTTGGGAGAGCAGAATTTTTGTTATTCTCAGAAACTGGACCCAAAGAAAGACAGTGTGTAGTCATTCTAAAAGCACTTATAGCAAAACACTTTAATGACTCCAAAGTCTTCACATCTCATTTCATCAAAATGGCCATTTTTTGGCATTTAGAATCAACACCTCTAGCAGAAAGACAGAGAATGGGACGAGGTGAATTACTCATGCACCTTCTACACAAATTAATCGTGTTCTTGGAGAACAATAATTTGCCTCACTTTTTCAATCCATGTGTTAATCTGTTGGAAGGCTTCAGCACATGTGACATCAGTTATACACTTAAAGAGTTAAAAAGAGTTCAGAGAAACATTTTAGATTATTTGACCTCTGAACTCTTTCCGGAGGAGTGGCTGGGGGCAAATGGTGATGATTTTGTTCAAAAAGTCCTGCAGTTTGTTTAAAACTTTAACCTCTAAGAGTGACCAGCATCTAATTTCTCCTTACAAGATACCCCCCTGAAACACGCATTAAGGTCAGGAGAATAAAGGAAATGATCATCAACTAAAGAAGCTCTTGATTGTTAAACAAATTCTCCTTGTTAGTATCTAAGGAAATATATAGAGAACAGTATCGAGAGTACAGAAACTGATGTTATAGGGTATTAATTTGTATTTTTTTAATCATATAGTACATGTTGTAAAGTGCTATGAAGTAGTAGTTGACTTGGCGCTATATAAATGCTTTAATATTATTTTTATTATTATTATTAACTCTTTTACTCCCAGAAGTGAATTTCTTCTTGTAACATGGAAATATTTTTGATCTGAAAGATGAAGAGTGAAAATCCTATCAACTGGAAGATAATATTGTTTGATTTAAACACTAAATTCTCAGGTAAAAGTGTAAGAAATATTATATGGTAAATAATGTGGAGACTTTATTCTTGGATCATAGAAGTGAAAGGGTCGGGAGAAAACGATGTTTCAGGTACATGACATTTTTCTAATAGCTACTGGATAAATCTCTCAGCTAAGTTTTCAATGACTATTTTAGCATGAATGAAGTACCTTGATGGTGTAACTGATTGTTAGTTATAAATCATGATGCAAGTATTTATGTGCCAAGTTTATAATTTGAAAATAAAATATGTCTTTTGATTTTGCCTTCATATTGAGTTCTCACTAACTCAAAGATTTCATTAATGCACAACGTCAAGCCTGGTCAGATTGTCAAAACATCAGTTCATGTCAACCACAAGTCCTTTCCAGGGTCGATCTCACCCATAATATCTCATTAGATAATTGACTGACTGACACTCTGTGATTGGTCGAGAGGGACAGGTGCAAACCCTCACCAACACGCTCTTGGGCAAGACTCTTTACTCTCTCTACTTGAAGTGTAGATGGGTATTTAAGTCTGCTATCAAAGAAAGTGTAGGGTACTTGTGATGGATCAGTATCCAATCCAGGGATTTGGTTCATAAAAAACAGAGGGTCCTGATAATTGCCGTAATTGCCCCAGCAGAATGCAAAAAGGATGTAGGTTGGGTCAGGTTTCAACCAAACTTCCCTCTTTTTTTTTCAACCTGACTCAAACCTGCCTCCTATTTTGATACATGGCTACTACCTGTAGATATCAGGGATTTGCTAATAAGGCGGACAAGGCACTCTACCAAAAAAGATCTAACGACCCCGAATGCCCGTTTTCCCAGTTTTTACCTAGTAAGGAAAAGATCATGAGGTACAATCTTAGAAATATGTCAGTCTCTGTCCCTATAATCCACACTGAAAGGTTTAAGAACGTTTTTAGTATTTTAAATATGACATGTAATAGTTTCCCTTGAAAGTTTATGTTGTAACTTAGGATATGTGATTTTATCTTAAGAAATAAAGATTATGTTATGTTATGTTACCTAACCATTAACTTGTCCAATCCATTTTCCTAACTGAACACTCACACCAGGTTTGTCAAACAATGGCTGGCCCTTAAGGGCTACATGGCCCAAAGATTATACTCATGAACAGGTCTTCATTTGGGGCAAGGAAAAAAAAAGTAAAAGTGAAAGCCAATTGTCAGGAAGCTCCTCTATGAAATTCATCATTTATCTTAATGTTAATCTATATGGGGGGAGACTTTTTATTGGCTAATGTTGTGTAGAATAGTGAATATTTATATTATTTTTCAGGTCTCTTACAAAAGCTAGGACACTTCAATTTCAACAGCTAGAGGTTGAAAGAGCCCTTTTCAAGTATGAGAATTTTCTGTTTCTCAACATGACTCAACACAAAGTAATTTTCGAAGCAATAAAGAAACAACGCATATTGAGCCAACTGCCAAAAACTGTTTTGCCTGTGGGAAGCATGTTTGAGGGCTCTCACATTGCTGAGTGTACAGATGATGGAAGAATTATACAGGAGATGGATTTTATGCTTATCTTGCCAGATGTCATTGCTGCTGAAGGAGACAGTGAACCACTGAAATGTGTTTCCGTAGAAGGACGTAATCCAGGTTATGTCAATTTGAAAGTATTAGATGCTACTCACATCTCAATACAAGACACACCAGCACTAAGAGATCTGGTGGATCCATTCACAAAGCTTTATGAAATATATAATGAAGAACTTTTCCTTTCTCACAAATTTGTCAGGATGTTTGAGCGAAGAGTTGGGTATGCAGTGATAAATACGATGGGAACAAAATTCAACCCATCCCAAGGCATTGAGCTTGGAATGAAACGCAAAAGTGTAAAGGATTTTTATCCGGTTATGACCATTTTCCTTAAAGAGCCTATCCACTGCTTGATTTGGCCTGATTCTGAAGCTTGGCCAGACACAGCAGTAGGGGCACTTTTTGACACACTGTCAGCCATCCAGGATTCACAGAGTAGCCTCTCTTGGGAAAATCAGATTATTGACATAGCACCTGCTATACTCTGTCAAGTTCCAACAGATATCAAAGATGCCTGGCTGAGAAGAAGAAGATACTGGCCTGATCAAGGACTAGTGAAGAAAATCTCAAGTCTTCACTGTTACTTGCTCGCAAAACCCCATCCTTATACCACAAATAAGCTGTTAGAGTGGCGATTTAGCTTCAGCTCAGCTGAGCTGCTTCTCAGTTCTGCTATAACACCATGGCAGAAACAAGTGCTCATGGTAGTTAAAGCTTTACGAAGGAAATACTTGCAAGAACCAAAGCTTGTTGCCTCATATCACTTGAAAACTGTTATGTTTTGGGTTCTAGAGTCAATGCCAGAACAAATAAGAGAATCTTGCAGTAGAGCTGTATTACTGCAAAGACTTATTGATAAACTTCTGTCATGTCTGAAAGCCAAAAATTTACCTCACTTTTTCATCCCAGAAAATAATATGTTTAGTCACTGCGAAGATGGAGACATTCTTACAGTTCTTTCCAAAGTTCAAAGAATGAGAGAAAATTTGCCACTGTATCTAACAGAAGACTTATTCATAGCTGCTGTTACAGAGGAAAGAGAAGAGAAAGAATTTGAAGAAACTTATTGGGGATTTACCTAATAAACCCTTCACAGTTATTGGCTCATAATTTCTCCCTAATGTGCCACACTTGAATCAAACATAAAGGCCTTGAGAATAATGGAAATGATTACCAATTTGAGAAGCTTCTGATCATCACATACATTCTCCTGCTCATCACCATAGGAGACATAGGGAAGACGGTATGGAGAATATGAAAGAGGGGGGTTTGGGATTTTCGGTTTTGCAATTTCGACTGTTTTTTTTGGATCAGTTTTTTGGTTTTTGGGCCAAAAGGGTTCGGTTTTGATGTTCAGAGGGGTTTGCAGATTTTGTGTTTTTGCATTTGGTTTTCAGTTTTTTGTTTTTCCTTTTTGACCCCTTTAAAGGTGAAAATGTAATGGTTTTCTCAGGTGTGCATGCAGTTTTTGGTTTTGATGCCTTTTTTCATCAGTTTGGAGGTTTTTTTCTCCAGTTTTGCAGTTTCCAAGAGGCCCCAATGCCCCCCTCACGAAGACTAACATTTGTATGAATGATCCAGGCTGATAATGCGACTGTGGCTGCCTGAAAAAAATTGTAAATAAAGAGGGCCCAGTTGTTTGAAGTCTGATAAGTGCTAAATTTTGATCCAGGTTTCTTTATTACCTTGTTCAAAAGCCTCTTTTTGGGTAATTTCCTTTATTCTTTCAAGGGGATCCCATCATCAAATTGTAGACAAAAGAAATGGAACTGAATTTTCTTTTAAAGCTTTCAAATCTGAAATCAGATTTCACACTAACCCTGGGTTGTGTTAATGGATAGAGCGCTGGAATGTTGTGCAGGAGGTCGAGGGTTCGAGCCCCAGCCGGACCAACACTCAGGGTCTTAAAATAATTGAGAAGAATTTGCCATCTTTCTATAACATCAAGAAATGGTTAGATATTCTAGTCTTCTCGGATAGGGACGAATAAATGGAGGTCCCATCTCCTGCAAGGTTGGGGTAGGAGACGTTAATTTCCCTCACACGAGATTACTGTGTGATGGATGTCCTCCCCTGGGGTGGGATGGGTGGGATATTGGGCGCACTTAATTTGGAGCCTCGCTCTGTTGTGCGACCCTCACCACACTCTGGTGAAAGTGATTAAATACACCCAGCTTTGAACAACCCAGCCCAGGGGCCCATTTCTAGAAAGTCCCGATAACTTAATGGGCCCGAAGCCATGTTTTAAAATCAAAATTTAAAGGATAGGGAAGCAGGTTCTGGCACCCAAAACAAGTCCTTTTTGTTTCTTTAACTGATAGTTTTATTGCATCATTTTCAAAACTTTTGAAATCCCTATCTTAAAAGAAAACATAACAGCTTTACGGGTCCATTAAGCTACCCGAACCTTTGAGAAACGGGCCCCAGAAGTTTAAGTCACAAAATTACTTGTTACATCCACAATTAAAACTGAGTTTGTTTAGATGCATGTTTAAACTCAACACTAGTTTATTAAAGTGCAGAAACCATGCTATCATTTCAAAATAATAATTTTTTTCAGTATTGATAAATGTTGTCTATTTACATAGTCAACTGAGGTGAAAACAACAGAGCAGCAATTTATGTTTAGAGCTCTCTGACGAAACACAATAGCTTGGTATTGTGTTCAGACAATCAAACAGAACTAGAGAATTGTGCTGATTAGTGAGGTAAACACCACAACAGACTGAGGCTTGTTTTGGGACCAGGCAATTTATCAGATACACCTCCTACATGTAAATAAGACACTGGACTTTTTACTTCAAACAGATGCAACATCTCCAAACTGTTAGGTTTATGCCTACCAAACATCCTTGGGTAGAAGAGCTATTACTTTATAGCTTTATTCCCAGGTATAACCCCTTTCCACATTGTTTTTCACTACCTTCCATAAGCAACTTCACATCTGTCTTCCAGCAGTTATATTCTATGTTACGTAAGAGAAATGGAATGACCTAAGCTTGACAAGAAATCCTTTAGTTGGGGAGTCGCACCAGTGGACGCTGATTTAATTCGATCATCAGCTCGCAGAAGATCTTTAAGCGTAGAATTGTGACTTCTCCTCCGGGAACTCGCTGATCTTGATGAAACAGGAGTGCTATATTGAGATGCACCTTTGTTGCGCGAATTTTGCGGCGCAGAAGACGAAATTTTCTTTTGAAGTCTGGATTTCCTCTCTTCCCCTGCACGTCCAGGATAAAATGAATGCTTCCCGCACGTCTTGCAAAATACCCCGACATGGTTCAGTCTTCGGGGAAGTTTCAGTATTTCCTTCTTAGTGCGATATTTTTTGTCGTTAAGTTTCCTTCTCTTTCCACGTTTCGGGTGCAATCTTACGCGACAATTATCAGCGCTAAATACGATGTAACAATGCTTGCAATATTTCAACTTAAGCTTATCCAGTAAAGCGTCACTATTTTCTTCAGTAGAGTGAATCTCATTCACGTAGAATTGAGACAATTCTGGGCTTTCCTTTGCGCAGTTCACGGCCAGATTCCACAAATGGTTCATACGCGCTCTGTCCGACATTTTGCTTCTCTCTCTTCAGGGGCATGAGTCGAGAATAAAGAGTGTCGGGGTAGATTCGGACACTGTTCGGAGCTATTCGGAAACTGTAGTAGTGCACCGCTGACTGAGAGGCATGCGCAAAATTCCCGCAAACCGCGGGAATCGAAGTGGAAAATGGCGTCGAACCTCAGCAAGGTTGCTGGAATGGGTTCGTGTATTAACGGTCACGTTGTTCAAAACGATAGCGCGATGTCGGAAGCACAACAGGGACAAGAGAGAGTAGCCATTTTAGATGCTGGGGCGCAATATGGAAAGGTGAAATTATCCTTTCGTTTTGTTTAAAACCTAATGAAAAATATACAAGTAAGCCAGCAGATTTCGTAAGATGTTTATTTCTCGTGTAGATTTCATGGAGGATTTAAATATAAGTTGTCTTACTAGAATGAGTCAGTGCTAAAGATAATTTGATCTGATTTCATCAAAGTACAATAATGAAAGGAAAAACTCCGGTAAACAAGACTGAAATCTGCTATTTTTGACACGAAGAAAATATGTTATTTTTTAAAAAGAGGATGTAGTTAGATATAAGTGTGACTTCTTGCGCTATAAGTGTCATATTCCTCCTGATGTAAAATCGTTTTTCCACTTAGAAAATTGGCCTCACGAGGGTGAAATGTTTTGAAAACGTAAAAAAAAAAAACAGCAAGCCGATTTGGGCCAGATGTGATTATTGATTTCCTGTTTCGAAATGCACAGTGTAGATTAGCAAGGTGTTGATTAGTAATTGTTTGTGGTCAACTCAACTGCGGGTACAAGTCATGTGCTTAAAAGATATTGGATATAACTCCAACATCAAAGTTGATGTTTGATTTGCATGTTGCACTGGGTCTTTAATTTCTCCACGTACTTTCATACATGTACAATACCTCTCAGATTAACGTTAACCAAAAAACAACACACATGAAAGGCGGATAAATTCGTATGTAAAAAAAATATGCGCACGAGAATACTTCACGACTAAATTTCAATCACCGCTCGAACCGACCTTCCTGCAAGGACGTTACTAAAAATAAAACGAGGAATCACAGGCAGCGGAACCTCCGGAACCTGTGGAACCATTAATTTTTGGGAAAAAAATTAAATAGTTTAAAAACAAAAAATACCCTAACACTGTTTGATGTGTTTTTTTTTTTGTTCTTGACGTCCAAGCACAGGAAACCCAAGCCTCCGTGAGTATGCAAATATGTTCACGTTGCGAAATGGGTAAAATATAAGAATATAAAAGATCTGGACTATTTTTGAACCAGGGCAAATTTACCCCCCTCAAGTGGATGTTCCTTTGCATCGAATCTCTTTGGCTGATTTAGGGTCATATAGCTCGATTAAAGTTCATCTGCTTTGCCCGCTATGTAATCTTTTCTGACATACGTCTGTAAGAAACGCCAATGGAAACAAAACGCTGGTAATTCGCTCCAGACGCCCCGATCACCCCGAAATTCCACATGTATCACGGTCGAAGATGTTACTTTACGCTCGTGTTCCTTATTCCAGGGTAATGTACAATGAAGTAGAATTAAAGGCCTCCAATTCCAGCCTAAAGGTTTGCACTGAGCCTTTAATTATGGTTCAAATTAACAACACTCGGGGTAGGTGACAGCTGTTTACTCGTTATGACGTTACATACCCTTGTACGATGAATTTCGCCACAATTAAAATTATTTCTAGTTGGACGTTTAGGACGTTAAAAACATTTTACTAATAATGTAATCTCTTTTTTTACCTGTAAACAAAATTTTCAACGGTGGTAAGGTTTTTTCAATTTTATTTATATCATTGCTTTTTTTTACTAAATAAAATCAATGGTTCCTCCGGCTCTGGATCGCGATGTTGTTCCATACTGATGCGACTTCATAATCGGAATATATAAATGATGTATCCTGTTTTCACAAGAGTCTTTTATTGAAGTAGCTGTCACTCATTTTGTAAGGAAAAAGAAAATCGTCGCAACGGCTTGTATCGCATTTCCGCTGAATCAACAAAGACATCCGTTTATAAACAGTTGTCGAGTTCTGAGTACTAGCACACTTACGAATGCTTCTTTCATAGCTTTATTGCTTTAGGAAATTGTTTCATTAACCTCGCCAAAACTACGAAGTTCTACTCGCCTGTTTTGATGATGTTGCGTTACCTGTCACGACCACGTCTTGTTCTGACTCGTATGCAAATTTTCATGCGGAACCGGATTTGCTTCGTGTTCTGTTACATGTGAAATCATCGATGTTCGCTTTAAAGTCCAGCAGGGCAAACATCGGTGGCATTGCTGAAAAAAGGGAAGGGACAAATCGAAAGCGGGATAGCTCAAGTTCGTCGAAGACTCACCGGCGCGTACAGTTGTAAAACATTTCAAACGGAAAGAATCTAACTAGTTATGTCATTCAAGCCAGTGTTCTAAGACTTCTGTGATATTGGTGGCTCCTAAAGGAACTGTTTGTATAATTTTTTCTGTTCCTGAACGTTTAGTAATCAACCATCGATGGAAGGTGGTCTAGGGAAGTTAGAAGTTTCGAATAAATCTTCACGTGCGATACGAACACCAAATTGTTTACATTCCGGTGCGTAAACATTCAAGCCAGCACCGGTTGCAAATTAATGGGGAAAATGCAATTGTGAATATTCGCTTCATTCTTCGCTGAATGATACACGTGCTTCGATGCTTTGTTAAGTGACATTTCCCTTTTCCTTCTGATTCTTCAACAGCTCAAATGTGTGTCACATGATAGCCTTTCCAGGTCGACTTTGAAATCTGGAACGGTGGAATGACGGAATTGTAGAATGGCGGAATAGCTGAAAAATCACCCCAAATCATATAAGACGGAATGCTGGAAAATCACCCCAAATCATGAAAGAGGGAACTGCAGAAAATTACCCCAAAACCTATAAGATGGAATGGTGGAATAGCAAAGGATTTGGGGTGATTTTCCGTTGTTCCATCTTTAAGGATTTGGGGTAATTTTCTGCCACTCAGTCGTTCTGCCTATCCGGTTTTAAGTGTCGCCCCTTTTCCCATAAAGTAAATTTTCTGTTGTTGGCTCTTTGCTTTTTTAAACTCAAAAGTTCTTTGTTTTACACAACAATCTAACACAAAGGAAACCTATAGGACTTAATAACAAAGAGATATAAGTTGCGCATGTATTGCGTCCATTTGCAAATGTATAGTGCAACAACCCACATCTGAGTGTGTAAGATGTTTCTGGAGTTAACATATGTCTGAGCGGTACTGTACATGGATTCTAATTCTATTTTGTGATTAGCAAATGTGATACTTAAATAGTAATTAACAAATGGTAAACACCACAGCGTACACTTTTGAGTTATGGATGCACGCGGGAGGTTGCTAAGCACGAAAGAAGCGTAATAGTCGCTCGAGGCGATAGCCGAGAGCGACTCTAGCTTCTTGAGTGCTTAGCAAACCTCCCAAGTGCATCCATAACTCAATAGTGTACGGTGTGGTGTTTACCATTTGTTTTATAACATGACATTGATACATTGTAGCGAAAGAGTTCCCTTTTATTTAACAAATCTTACGTGACCAGAAAAAAACAAGCGCGTGCGGAAAAATAGTCTTTGCATTTGCTCACGTCAGCAGCGTATACCCATGGGCAAATGGGGGACACTAAATTGACCAATCAGAGTGCGCGCTTTACTTTGGTTATGTTATAATTGTTTTATTAAAAACGCCCCTAAGATATTAGACAAATCGTACCAAATCTTAAATTTTTTAGCTCCCTTTTAATTTTAACCCGACACGTACGCTTACCATATTTGTAGATTATGGTATATTGGCTGATATACTATAATGGCTAAGCCAATAAAAAGTCCTGAATTGCATTATCCAATGATCCAGTTTTTAATAATGATGTATAGATAATGGTGGTAGGACTGAAAGGAAACTAATTTGGTCTGTTATTCTATGAGTGATCAACAAAAAACAAAACAACAGCGAATTCCGCAAAATGTGCAACAACAGTGTGCACACATGACATATACTGTCCAATTACAAGCATGTTGTGTACGCCGCCGTATTAGTGCTCAAATCGGGTTGGTGATAGCCAATCACTTTTGAGAATTTTGTTATAGTTTTGATAATGGTGTCAATGATGTTGTAATGATGATGATGATAGAGCAGTTTTCAGTTTTTAAGGGTGATCTTGCCCAGATTTTCTTTTCTTAATCTCATTATTTCCAAGCTCACCATCCAGGGTTGTATTTATTGATCATTTATAATTCTGCTGAAATGTGTCTTTCAACAGATCATAGATCGCAGAGTTCGTGAACTATGTGTGGAGACAGAAATGCTTCCCCTTGATACTTCTATATACACCATAAGAGAGAAAGGTTTTAGGTGAGAGAATCTTGTAAAATTCAACTATGATGATAAATCCTACCATTGACATGATTATTTTTAAAATGATTCAGTTACCTGGTTGTGTATACATAACATCTCTGAAAGAGTTTGCAAAAAAATGTTTCTCTGTTTTTAATATCCTTGTTGGGCAGCTCCTTACTGTTCTAAGAAATTGCCAAGGGATTTAAAAGAAATGAATGAGACTTAACCCTTTAATAGCCATGAGTGACCAAGACATAATTTCTCCTTACAATATCATTTGAATATCAAGAAGACAAGTGAAAATGAATGAAGGAAAATATCAACCAAAGGAATGATTGTTTGATATGCCTTTTTTTGGTATACAGTAAAAACCCACAAGTAAGAACCTAAAAATTAAGAACCTGTTAGCCTAAAATTTGCCATTTATACCCCCTATAAACAAGAACCTATTTAGCCTAAGATAATTAAAATAGGTTCTTATTTTCTAAAATCATTTAGTACATTACAGGTACACTGAAATTATTTACTGTAATTATAATGGAAGAAAAACCAGATTACCATTGCTGTAAAACATGATTTTCTTAAGAAAAATGAGTGCAAAATATATAGTTACAAAATATAGGACAATTACCAACTTATTATGCAGGTGTGTTTTTCTCCAAGAATAAGAACCTGTTTTAAGAACCTAAATAGCCTAAAATTTTGTTAAGTACCATTTATATAAGAACCTGTTTAGGCTAACTCCTAAAAATGTAGGTTCTTACTTGCGGGTTTTTACTGTAGTTAGAAATTAGATGATTTCTGCAGTACTCCTCTACCTTCACAACTCATTAATTTAATTTTGTTGTGTATCTAAGGGCTATCATCATCTCTGGAGGTCCAAATAGTGTTTATGCTGAGGACGCTCCTAAATATGATCCAGCTATATTTACCATCGGAATCCCTGTCTTAGGGATTTGTTATGGAATGCAGGTAAAACAGTGATGTCAAAAAGGGCATTATTGGCCAAGCCTTTCTTCAGATGTATGCCAAGTTCTGTAGAGATCCATTCATCCTTTACCAGGGATTTCATTAAGTTTGGAAGTAGGCATATATTAGAACATTAGAAGGTGGAAGACTTTTTAGCGGGAATCGAGGCAGATTTGTCACCAGTCTTTCTATTCTGTCCATTCAACATGGCCCATAGCGAACCAATCATGTTGTCTACATCTACATTTATTAGTCTTGCAAAGGGGGGCCATCACGCAACACATAAAATAACAATAATAATTAACAAAAGGAGATAAAAAATGTAAAGATAAATGATATATATATATAAATACATGTTGTTGATTGAATTGTTAGAACTTGTTACAAAAATCACCCAACAACCAAAAAGGAGACAAAATACCTATGAAAAACACCTTTCTTGATGACTGCTTTTAGAATATATTGAACATTTTCCAAAAAACACACAAAAGCCATAGTAGCCGGCTCTATTGTGGCGAGTAGCTACCGGAGTTTACCAGTTGCCAGCTTCTAAAGAAATCCTTGCCTTTACACGTGAAAGTCACTAGACATATTGTACACACACACCGTTCTCTATACATGTACATTTCTAAAAGTGCTGATAAGGAGAATACTATTGTCGGACGTCGATGTGTGATTCAGGAGGTGATATTGAACTTTGAACTTCATTGAATTTGTTGCACTTACAAAATAACATCAGCAACTGGGGAAGAAAACAGGATGATGTCCCAATTGATATTCAGCCCCAATAAATAATTTATTACAACGTAGTAATAATAATTGTAATCGTAGAAGTATGGGAATAAAAAATAATAATGATTATCATTGATATTATTTACAATCAAGTTAAAAAGTAACGTCATCACCCTCATCACCTTCTGCAGAGAAATTCGAAGCCAATCACTCTGAGACACAAGAAAGAACAAGACATTTAGTAGGGAAGTACCCTGACCAAACAAGCTTGGTCAATAATGGCTTCATGATATGGCAAAAAATACCAATAATAAAACCTTTTTTCTTTTGTCCAATAACAAAGATGTTGAACAAAGAGTTTGGTGGGACTGTGATGAAGAAAGATATCAGAGAAGATGGACAGTTTAAGATTAATGTGGAAACATCCTCGGCACTTTTCAGGTTGGTGCAGGTTTATGTTTAATGTTAGAGGCATTTATGGGAGCAAATCAATGGATAAAGGGCTTTTTAGAATTTTATGCGTATACTAATGAAAGCAACATTTACTCTGGCTAAGCAATCAATGAAAATCACCAGGTGTGCCTAGTGTAATGGTGGTGACTTTCATCAATTGCCACAACTGGTGTACAAAATTGCTGATATCTGACTTGTTAGATATTGGTGATTTTCGCTAGCTATCAAATTTGATGGATCACTGAATAAAATCACCAAGTGCATTACCAGCTTAAGGGTATAATATTATCAAAATTTTATATTCATAAATGCCTGTTTGCTCATACAGTACTTCTCAATCTTGATATTCATATCATTTGATTTATTTAGAGGATTACAGCCAGAGCAGGAGGTTCTGTTGACACATGGAGATTCTATTGACCGCATGGCAAGTAGCTTGAAAGTAATTGCCAAGTCTGGTGATATTGTTGCAGGTGATGACAAAAGATGTTTACAAATCTCATGACTCAGTATATAATTGAAAAGAGTTGTACTCTCTCAAGATGGTGTGTATGTTCTAGAACGAAGGATCCTTATTTTATTTTTTATTCTATTTAGCTTCGCCAACCGGCAGGGACACCACAACAGCTTG